TCAGAATTCTGACTTTAATCTCAGAATTCTGACTGTTTTTGTTGTCAGAATCCTGCGAAAAAAGTCAGAATTCTGAATTTTTTCCCATACTAAACTGAAATAAAATTTAAAAATCAGTTAACTTTTTTTTTTTACCAGTGGCCCTAATCCTCTTCCATATGTAGAAGATCAGGAGGCGATGTTAAACAAACCATGGGTAACAGCTAATGTTGCTAACGCTACATCCCCATGAACAGATATACACACGGGTCAAATTCTCGAACAAACCCTCTGAAAAAAAAAAAAAAAAAGGACTTAAAAACAGTCAGAGTGAGCTTTATTGATTTTTTTTTCTCCTAAAACGTTTTCAACATGAATGAATAAAAATAAATAAATACCAGATTATGACTCCTTTAATAAAAAAAAAGGAAAAAAAAACTCATATTGTCATCTAAATGAATCATAACTTCAAACCTTCCTTAAAAAAAATTAAAAATGCTAATTTTTGTAGAGAAAACCACAAGATCAAAATGTCTACAGATGATTAACTTTCAGTCCTTTATTCATATTTTAAGTTTCTGCTAGGAAATACTTTCTCCTCTTGGCGTTTAAATTTCAGCACAAATGAAGCAGCGCCATCTAGTGGACTGAAAGCAGACCTGAGTTCATGTTGGAAAAAAAAATTTGAGGGTGGAATAAATAAATAGTCATTAGCTTTTCAATCTTTTTATGTATTATTCAATAATTTATAATTCCTGAGCGCCAAAGCTGCCATTGTGCGGCGCCTGGGGAGCAGCCTGGGGATAAAGGTCTTTTTCAGGCACCCAGAGGCTGTGATGCATGAATCTAATTCTAAAAGGATTCATAATCTGTATAGACAAAGTCTGTCTAAACTATTAAAATCAAACAAAGTATTTAAATGAAAGCGAGTAAAAGCTGAAGAGGCTGTCTTACCACGGTGGGGTTCCCACTGCTGATCAGCTGGCCGACCTCATGGAAGATGCTTTTACAGCTGATGCTTTTGTCCAGGGAGCCTCTCTTCACGATGACCGCCACCGCCAGCAGGATCTGCTCACGGACATACTTCTGCAGGCTGCAGGGAAACGGGAGATGTTTAGGGATGATGTCAGACAGACATGTGATCTTAAGCACCGTTTCTTCTTCCACTTCAGCGTCTCAGCAGCTGAATCTATTCAGCAGGGGGCATCGGGAGCAGTCAGAGTCAAACTACTACTATTTTATTGGCATGCATGACACTTGGAAACATGACATCCGACCAAATGCTGCATCCAAGAATTATAATATTAAGCAAAGTGTGACAATGATTATGCTTTTTTTTTTATACTCCAAGGAATTCTAAAAATATCACTTCCAATCCCTCATTTGACTTGTTGGCAAAAAAAAACAAGTGGGAAAAGTTTTTTAAGATTCCAGAGAAGCTGGGAATTAGTTTTAATGGAGGGACCGTTCAGTTCAGGCAGCAAGTAAATGACAAACAAAACATCCCCTGCAAATATAATCGTCCTATTTAAAGACATTTTTAGCTTTAAAAAATATAAAAAGGAAAACGGTTGTGGTTTCTTTAAAAATTGTCCAGAACCAGAAGATGAGAGGAAAATCAGTTGTTTCTAAGACTGCATTAGAAACCCAGTCCAGAACACTGGAGCCCCAGGTTCTGCTTCGGTCCTGTGCCGCCCGACTTCACCTCCCTGTACAGCTGAAACTTCCCAAACTGCGTGAAAATAAAACAAGCTGGAAACGGACTGGTTTGACCGTAAAGATGGACAAATATTCAGTTCAAATAAAATACAGTAAAAACCCTGCAAGCCCTTTAGTTTTAATATATTTAAATTAAAATCTATGACACGGACGTAGCCATGTTGTTACGCTGCAATGCATTTTGGGTAAAAGTCATATGTTAGGTCAAGTAGCGCTACCTTGGTACCACAAAAACAGCAATAAGTAAAGTGAACCCATTATAGGGCACTCAGTAAAATACTTTGAAAATATAAATTTCAAGCCAAGTGTTACTGAAATCCAGGACAAGATCTAATTACCTTTGTAACATTCAAAAATATTGATATCTTGATGGCAAAAATTTATGTCAATGAGATAACAAGAAACGGCAACTTGCCCTAATATATTTAGAAAAATAACAAAAGTGCTTCTATAAGAAATTAATGAAAAACACTCCGAGAGTGAAAGAAACACAATTTTTTGGTACAACATAACCTTAGAGGCATTAATGCTGATACTAGCACTTAGAATTTTTTAGTTTAGAAATCTAAATATAACTGTTTACTAGGATTAGCAACATTTTTACTTTACTTTTTAACGTATTTCTTGACTTGTTAACCATTTTTTTCTTCATTCTTAATTTACAGTGGAGGGGGTCTCCATTTTTAAGGGGTATAAAAGTGATCTAAAACGATAACTTGCCCAGTGAAGGGTTAAACCTTTTCAGTTTGAAGAAGAACCTTTTTTTCTGTTGCTGCTGCTAGCAGATGCTAATCCAGATGAAGCTATGCTACAAACAGCTCCAGTTTCTTACTGAGCCCATTTACTGTTAGCATCAGGATCAAAACATTTTAAATTAACAATGATTTGTTAACATCAAGAGTTTTATTTCCATTAAATAAGAAGTAACTAACTCTCATCATCGCAAACAAAATTTAAAAAAAACGCTTAATATCTTCATGAAGCCATAATGATGCTGTACCATCATCCTCAAGCTACTTCAGGTCGTCTTCTTTCTTTTAACAAGCGACTTTTTTAAAGTTTTTTTTTTTTTACCAACGGGCAATCACTACAAGCCGGAAATCGGGCCTGGGGACGGAAAACTTTAATTCCTGTTATCAGGAGGTACCTAAATAAAAAAAAAAAAATACAGCATAGAATGCTGCAGAAGACTAAAGCCTCTTTCTCACTGAAATTAGTGAGTTTTTCAAACGTGGGTCGACCCGCTAACAAACAGCATTATGCCTCCTTCTCATTGGAAAAACAAAAAGCTGGGTGAAACCCTCAGCTGGCAGCTGCATGGCCTCTGTCCCCCCACTGCTGCACGTCTGGTGATACCATCATGCTGGGTTAGCATTGATGATGTCACCAGTGGGACATAAATAACAAAAGTAAACATAATGTGGTCAGTGTGCTTTATTGTTTCATTCTTTAGTCCAACACAATCTCTTTCACCAGAGCTGCATCGTGTTTATCGAATATTAGAAATGTTTCAGCTTGTTAAATCAGGCCTGACTGGTGCGGTATGTTGATATTTGTATCATGTAAACTAGCGGGTCGCACCGGGTCTGCTGTACCCACTGTATGCCGATTACAGCCGAGCCATTTGAAGGCGATTTTAACCCGATACGGGTCAGTGATCCGTTCCCACTTCCACTAAAAGCCCATTGTTCCCAGTTTTTAATGGGTTTAAATGGGCTATTGGGAAAAGAAGTATAAGAAACTAGCAGATGGATTTCAAGAGTGTTGATGACAGACGTTGGGATCGGTTCAGTGGTTCCAACAAAACCCTCCTTCTCTCCTACTTACTTGGGTCTCTGTAAGACGTAGGTGAGAAGGAATGCCCGCAGGGACTCGATGCTGGTCTTCTCCAGCAGGATCCACTCCCGCACAACAGCCTCCATGATGGCTGTGGCTGCCTGGAATAGCACATAGTCCACCTTACTGGTCTCTGGAGACGGACGAGCAGAGATGAGAAACGTTAGAAAACAGAGAAATGGCGAACAGAGACGGTATGTGGGCAGAAAAACTGAAAAAAACAAAACCAAAGGATTAACTACCTTCATATGTTTAAATAAAACCCAAATTCAAGACTAAGCATAACAGGGTTCCTTTTCATTATAGTAATTAAAAGAGCTTGCAAACCTTTATAATTTCAATAAATAGTTAAAAAGGTATAGTCAAGGATTTTCACAATTTTTTTAAAAGACTTCCCCCCTCTTCACAAAAATGCACATGCAGAACCCTGTACCCGCTCCTGAGAGGGACGCCTGTTAAACACGAGCTTACTTTCCAAAAGATGATTTGCAATTTTTCCACTACGTCAGTCAGACTCACCACCGTGTGATGAATTACCTCCCCACCAAAACTCTAAATTTTAGGGCATCCATGCATAAAAAAGATGAAAATATTAAGAATATGTTTAAAAGTTCCCTTTTCGTTCATATTTCAATCCATTTTCTCATCAGTCTGAGAGAGGGGAGGCAATTCTCTGCAAGAGTCAGGTGAAAATAGGGACGAGCCTTAAGTAAACATATCACCAGAATGACCACTTATTGTGATGATCCACCGGGAAAAAGGACATCCTCCAATATACCTTTAACAATCTTGCTTACATTTAGTTCAGCAAAAACCTCAAAAAAATGAATGCTGATGCTGTTTCATTGATGGAAGAGCAGAAGATGATTAAAACAAGAGAGCTAATTTGTAAAATAGACATGGCTACGGCTTGATGCTAACATGTTTGTTAGCTGTCAGAATTCAGAGGAAAGTCGGAATTCTGAGATTAAAGTCGGAATTCTGACTTTTTTCCCCATATTAAACTGAATTAATATTTAAAAATCATTTTTTTTATTTTTTCAGTGGTTCTTATCCTCTTCTGTAAAAATGTTCTACAGTTGCACAAAGATTTTTTTTTAACTATGGTTTTTGATAAAAAAAACTTTAATAATTAATGACATCATTGTTGTAAAAATGTAATTGAAATGCAACAAATATCACCCGAATCCACAATGCATACACCTAACTTTACCAGAAAGACAGAAATCAGAGGCTCAAGCTGTGTGGTAATCCGGTCAATATTTTAGTTTTAGAGACAAAAAAGATCTAAATTAAAAATTAGATTAAAAATTTATATATCATGGAAAGATTTAGGAATGTCTGGGCAGCTCAAACGTTATTTTTTCAATACAAAGGAAGTTACATCACAAGAGGCAAATAGTGAGTAAACGCACTCAAGTAGGAGCTCAGGATGCTACTGCTATGGAGGTAAACACCGTTAGCAGGAATGTCCTGTCAAGATCCGTGGGAATATTTGTTTAAAATCCCAGATTAATAAGTGGGAACTTTAATTTGTCTGTTTTATTGTTTTATTCAAACATTTTTCCTGAAGCGCCTCAAACCATAAAACTCATGTAAACCTGCACCAAACACCAGGTTCAAACATGTCCTGCAGATCTAAGCTGGCAAAGAAACAGGTTTCTATAGATATGATTACTGAGCATCAGTGGGCAATGTTATACAGCTTAAGCTTTATTCAGTATTTACCAAGGATGTGCTTGCAGATGGCGAACGGGGATTTGGACTTCCTGAAGGAGAGGAATACATGTTCAGCATGCTGCCTCTGTTCTGTGCTGACCATGGACGGCGGTGCCTGGGGGGGAAAAAAACAAAACAGGAGCAGGATTTAGACTTAAACTTTAAAAATAAAGACTTTGAAAACCTCAAAACCAACACTGAGCTTCATTAAAGAGCGACTTTAAAAGGTTTTTAGGGTTGGAAAGAATCATAAATGGAGGCAAAAAAGCTCCAGTTTGGAGAAGTTTTCTGGGTTTATCTCTTGTAATAAAGGACAGGATTTATATGAGCGATGTTTTAATCCTTTAGGTCCTGCTGTGACATGATTATGTGTGGCTTCGGAAAATGAATTATATTATTAAAATAAAAGGGGAAAATCTGTTTCACACAGGGCTAAATCAGTTTGGATTGGCTTTTTCCCCTCAATACAAAAAATAAATAAATAATAATAACTGAACTTTATTAATCTCACACTGGAGAAATAGACCTCTGCATTTAACCCCTCCCCTTGGGGAGCAGTGGGCTACCATTGTGTGGCGCCCAGGGAGCAGTGTGGAGGTTAAGGTTCTTCCTCAGGGACCCACAGTGGCATTCTGTGGCAGTGGGGCTTGAACTCAGAACCTCTGGATTCCAACCGAATGCCTTCCACTGGAAAAACAGATATAGAAATAAGTAAATAATTCCTTAAATTAAGTATATTTACCCTTAATTTGAGTAGGTAAATGAAATGGTTTGCCAGTGGAATGAGTATTTTTACTCTTAAAATAAGATAAATTGGTAATATGCGCTTGAAATAACAATTAAATTATGTTTTCTAATTTTAACTGTAATTGTCTCATTCCATTGGCAAAATGTCTCCTTTACCTCCTTAATCTAAGAACAAATGCACTTATTTTAAGAAAAAAACTATCTAGATTTTGATTTTTTCCAGTGTAACCACTAGGCCGCCACTCCCCATAATAAAATAAATAAAAATTATGTATATATTAGATATTATTATCCAAAGTACCTGTGACACACTTTTCCTTCTAGTTAAATAAATGAGGGTGCAATAATATTAGTGCTGAAACAATCTAATTAATCGATCTTTGAAATAATCAACTAATCTGGTAATTGAATCATTGAACAGACTTAAAATTTGCTAAAAGAATAACCTACCTATAGTAGAAAAATAAGACAAATTTAAACTACTAACATTAAACATAAATATCATTTTATTTATATTTCTTTAAATATAACAATTTTTAATCATATTTTATATGTTTAAAAGTTTTTTTTCAATATTCTGAATATTTGTCTATTTATTCTCTTTTTACATTAAACAAAATATCATAAATCAATTACTAAACTAATCGATCGAAGCAGCCCTAATTTTCATGCATATCTCAAACACTTTAAAGCTGCATTTGACACTAAATTGGTTTGATTATCTGAAATATTTTGGAGTAAACAGATATCTGTAGCAGAGTGAAACATTTGCTCCCGTTGGACGGGATGCTAATGAATGACGACTCATGCATTTATGTTCTAATTCAGAAGGAAAAGGATAAAGCTGCAGCTCAGTGTGCACAAAGAGTAAATCCAAGCGATCACGCAGCCGAAAGCCGACCCTACCGAGGGGGTTAGACAAAACAGCATGTACTGTAAACATGGACTCCCAGATTAAAGTTTATTGGAAAACTACCTCCATCCCAACCCCAGAACCTGACCGAGAGAGATTCCCTGAAAAGTTGTGGCCTCCATCGTTCATAGAAGACATCGGCATAATAAAAACAAAGCGCTCAGAGCTGTGAACCCATAAAGGATGAAGGGTTTTTATAGAGGAGCGTCTCCACGATACGGCCCTGCAGGAAAGTCACATTCCAGACCTAATTGCTGGAAAAGCAGCTCTGTGGTCAAAGGCAGGGGAGGGAAGAAAGACCCTTTTATCTGACAACCCACACATAATGTGCCGTAATGAGACGGCACACACAGTTTTAAAGACTACTAGCAGCAGACAGACTGAACGGGCTGGATCTGCTGTTAAATTAAACATTTTATTACAACCTTCAATCCAAACTAAATGGGATTAACAGAGTTTAACTCTGAGCCGCCGAACCAAACGCAGCACAGAGGAGGACCTATAGCTTACAGATATCTGAGATATTTATGCAACAACAGTCAAAACCTAATAAAATGAATGAAAGAAGTCAGACCATCTGACTTCTTTATGGCTTTAAAAAAAAAAAGAATTATAATTGCAAAGTCCCTAAAATCTGTGGACAATTATTCTAAATAAAGGATTTGAAGCAGCATTAGATCACAGATTCTGTTAACTTGCTTATGGAAACGGAAAACAAAAAGAAAATACATTAAGGTTGGTCATTTTGCAGATCTAGATATCAATAAATATCCATACATTCCTTCATTTCAACCTTAGTTTTCTTTTTTCCAAATGTTTCCAGATCTGAAAATGAATCGGTTCAAATCAAATTCCACACTTCTACCCTGAGAGACCTTTTCTTCTCCCACCCAGCTGCAGGTAAGGACCAATCAGAACCGGTTTTGATTGAAAAAAAAGTTTCAATCATGTTTGCTGGATTTTTTTTGGGGGGGGAAGAGGCTCGGATGGTGATTTTCCGCTTCATGTTCACAACTGACCGAACACTTGTGACCCTGACCGCTGCAAACTAAAGTACACAAGCCTTAGTGAAGCACCAACAAGGACAATCAAACTGTTCCAGTAAAGAAATGCTTTTCACAATTAGTTTTAACTGGATTTGAATTCAGGGGATAATTTAAAGACCCTAAAAGGGAGATCTGAGTTAGAGGTAGCTTATTCAATAACTAGTCTAAACCAGGGTTGCCAGTACTGAGAGCTGCAGCCCCTCAGCTTTCCATTGCATTTATTTTTCCACCCCAACTGAATCTTAATGGCTGCATACCCTCATCTGCATGTCCTTTAGCGCAGCAGATACCCGGTAACAGGACTGCAGCTTTACAGGAGCAGAACTGGACAGTCCTGTTGTAACAGTGTCAAGGCCAATTTATGCTTCTGACGCATTGCCTCTGCAACCGTCAAATCTGTCTCTGTGCGCGACCATGCCCCCTGCACAGAGGTTCTGCAACTGTTGTTGCGCACCTCAAAAAACGACACATCGGACGGTCGCAAACCTGCGCAGACCTGAAGCGGAAGTGCGCAGACAGGGTTGATTGGTCCTTGGTAAGGCTTTTCGGGCTGTCTGTGTGGTCGTCCTTCTCGATTCAGTGCCAGGTGCACCATTTTAAAAAACCGAGGAGTAATAACAACAATGGATAACCAAGACGAAAGGTTGATTCAGGAGGTTCGGAAGTACAACCACTTGTACGATGCCTCAGACATGTTTTGAAAAATAAACACTCCTGCCGTCGAAGTTCTCACAAGTTCTCGAATAGGCTCCCCCGTGCGCTTTGGAGGGAAACTGCTGTGAAATTCCAGAAATTCCTAGAAATTCCAGACAGACAGGGCAGAAGCATACCAGCAAAAATGGTTCGTGAACAGATGCAAGCGACATTTGATGTGTGCGTTTGCAGAAGTCTAATCTTGGCTGTAGTTAATACATTAGTACATTTTGTATGCATGTCTTTACCTTCAATCTACCTTTCAAGGTAAATTTTCAAGTTTTTAGTCATCAAATAAGGATGACTTTGAAATACGGGTCCAAGTCATTGAATTTTGAGTTGACTGTCGATTAAATAAAAGCAACCAGACATGAAAACGAAGGGATAAATATTATGAACATATGAATACACAGATAACAGCTTTCTAATACATCATTAAACACAAATGTATTAAGAATTTTAAAAATAAATAAAACACGCGAAACACTTTTGATTTCCAAAGTACCGAGATGTAAAGCTGTATTCAAAACACAGGGTATAGCACTCTGATGTACAGTCAGACTATCTGCCACTTTATTTAAATGAAGTTAAAGCTAACTGTTGTGTAAAGGCTAGCGATGGGAATCGAAAACTGGTTCCTGTTCAGAACTGGTTCTGTGTGTTCCAATTCCATGGCACGTTTGGCAGCTCACTTAATGGTTCTCTTAACGATTCTAGGCAGCACCA